CTCTCCCTCTCCCCTCTCCCCTCTCTAATATGTGATTTCACCCCGCCCCCCCTTCCTTCTCCCCTTTTCCTCTCAGGACCGTGATCAAGTTACGCGGTCGTCAGTGGCGGGCAACCACAGTGGGAAGAGCGTGCTGTGCTGAGTGACATCTGCACGAGCTCAGTCCCCACCCCATGTGATCACATGTGTTGCATCTCGATTGTGCTCGTAGGCACGGGACAAGGTGACGCGGTCGTCAGTGGCGGACAAGGACTCAGGGAAGAGCGTGCGAACGAGGTCAGGGACGTTCCTAGTCAGTACACATGCAGCCTACCCGCCCTCTCCCCATTCCCCCCAGGCACGAGACAAGGTGACGCGGTCGTCCGTGGCGGACAACAACAGCGGGAAGAGTGTGCTGAGTGAGATCCGCACGAGCTCAGGGACGTTCCTCAACAAGTACCAGGACGAGGTGGTGAAGCGCATCGAGGAGCGCATCGCCGCCTGGACCTTCCTCCCAAAGGTGCTCTCCCTCCCCAAAGGTAGCTGTCTGTGTCTTCTGAAAGGTGCTCTCCCTCCCCTAAGGTAGCTGTCTGTGTCTTCCCAAAAGGTGCTCTCATCTCAGAAGCACGAGCTCAGGCACCTTCTTGACCAAGTACCAGGATGAGGTGGTGCTGCGCATAGAGGAGCGTATCGCTGCTTGGACCTTCCTCCCCAAAGGTTGTCACATACTCGAGTTGAAGATAGTGCAGAAGAAGTGCAAGTGTGTGCGGTGCCATGCAGCTCGGGCCATACAGCTTGTGACTTGATTGATTCTCCTACCCCTCTCCTCACGTGCCCCTCTCCTCACATGCTCCTATCCTCTCCCCGCATGTGTGCATCAGAGCACGGCGAGGCGATTCAGATCCTCAAGTACGAGATCGGGCAGAAGTACGACGCCCACTACGACTATTTCTTTGACGCGGTCAACACGCAGATGGGTGGTCACAGGGTGGCCACCGTGCTCATGTATCTGACCTCTGTGGACGAAGGGGGCGAGACGGTGTTCCCCAATGCAAAGGTGGGCTTGCGTGCTCCGTGTCTATGACCATAGGAGGAGGGGGCGGGTGGGAGGAGGGGGGCAGAAAGTCTCAAGTCAGCATGCAGATGGGCAGCACCGTGCTCATGTACCTCACGAGCGTGGAGCACACGTGAGCTTACATGTGCTCCCGAGCGGAGGAGAGACTGTCCTTCCCAATGCAGAGGTTGGTAGCACACGTGTGTGCTTGAAGCGTTTAGGATTGGACAGAGGAAGCTGGGGGATGCCAGCACGCAGATGCGCGGGTGACATAGCGACGAGGTGCCTTTTGAGTTGACTCTAAGGTCACATTGAGTCCACTCAGATGTGTGCATGGGGTTTGGAATAGACATAGGAAGCTGGTAGGTGTCAGCACACAGATGGTGGTGGCTACCCTGCTCACGTGCCTGACGGCAGAGAAGGAAGACGTGGGGGAGAGACAGGGTTACCCAGTGCTGGTGACCCTGCTCACTGGTTGTCCAGCTTCATTCGGACAGTCCTCATGGGTGACTAAGGCGATACGGGGAAAGGCAGGCCTTACTGATTCAGGGGTGGGGTTGAATGGCAAACTGCCAGGTGCCCTCATGGACCGTTGCTCTCTTTCTAGCTGTGTGCGCATGATAACAGATTCGCCAAGCAAGGCACATGAGCAAACTCCCTCACTCACTTCTTTCGTTTTGGCTCTACCCGTCCCCTCCCCAGGCGCATCCCCTCCCCAGGCGCATCCCTCCCCAGGCGCATCCCTCCCCCAGGTGCATCCCCTCCCCCAGGCGCATCCCCTCTCCCAGGCGCATCCCCTCCCCCAGGTGCATCCCTCCCCCAGGCGCATCCCCCATCCCCTCCCCCAGGCGCATCCCCTCTCCCAGGCGCATCCCCTCCCAGGTGCATCCCTCCCCAGGCGCATCCCTCCCCCCAGGCGCATCCCCTCCCCAGGCGCATCCCTCCCCCAGGCGCATCCCCTCCCCCAGGCGCATCCCTCCCCCAGGCGTCTCCCCTCTCCCTACCCTCTCTCACCTCATACTTAACTGATGCCTCCCGTCTCTCTCCTCTCCCCTCTTCACTGTAACCCCCGCCAGCCTAGAAATTCGGTGAATGAATCTTGCTCTGACGGTGCCCACAGAGGGGTCTCGTCCGGCAGGTGTTTCCCTCCCGGCCCGCCCACTCGCTCTCTCCACTTCATCTCTCTTCGGCACCTTCTCCCTCCTCCCTCACATCTCCCCTCCTCCCTCACATCTCCCCTCCTCCCTCACATCTCCCCTCCTCCCTCACATCTCCCTCCTCCCTCACATCTCCCCTCCTCCCTCACATCTCCCCTCCTCCCAGCGTGAATCTGCCATGGATGCCTCTTGGTCTGGCGGCGCACAGGAAGGACTGGCAGTGGCAGTTGACTTTCCCGCCCCCTCCGTGCCTCACACCTGCCTCACCCGTTCTTTCTCTACCCATCCCCTCCCCATCACCCACTCTCCCCATCACCCACTCCCCCTCCCAGCCCAAGCCTCCTTTGGATGCCTCATTGACTGACTGCGCAAACAGAGGACTGGCAGGTACCTGCGTGAGTGTGTGCATGTGTGTGTGTGTGCATGTGTGTGTGTGTGCATGTGTGTGTGCATGTGTGTGTGTGTGCATGTGTGTGTGCATGTGTGTGTGTGTGCATGTGTGTGTGCATGTGTGTGTGCATGTGTGTGTGCATGTGTGTGTGCATGTGTGTGCGCGGCATGCTTGTGTGTTTCTCTCTCTATTTAAGAAAACGTGTGTGTGTTTTTCAATGCCTGCCGACCTCTCGTCACTGCATGTTTCCTCCCCAGCTCAGTCCCATAGTACGCCCCTTCCCACCTCACAGTTCACAGCCACCTCCTTGCCCTCCACATCTCCCCTCCACCTGCCCTTCGTGTCCGCCTCCAGTCAAGCCCCAGAAGGGTGATGCGCTGCTCTTCTACTCCCCGCACCCGGGCGGCACCATGGACCAGTCATCATTGGGGTGACTTTTGAGTCTGCCCATGTTTCAATGCCCTCTGCTCCCTACCATCTCTCCCCTTTGCCTTCCAGTCAAGCCCCAGAAGGGCGACGCGCTGCTCTTCTACTCCCTGCACCCGGACGGCACGACGGACCAGACATCATTGCATGCCAGCTGTCCTGTGATTCGCGGCGAGAAGTGGTCGGCAACGAAGTGGATCCACGTGCGCTCCTTCGAGGCGCGGCCCCTCGCGCAGGGGTGCGAGGATTTGAACCCGAAATGCGAGGAGTGGGCGGTGCTTGGGGAGTGTAAGAAGAATCCCGCGTATATGCTCGGGGATGGGGCGTACACTGGGAATTGCAGAAAAGCTTGCAAGGCGTGCTGAAAATACTTTTTGGGCCTGCAAGGCAAGCCTTCTGTATTTCATGGGTACAATCTTGCCTTTATCCTCTTCGCTGTGAAAGAATAAGAGGATGAGGGCAAGGCATTTTAGGTGAAATGAGCTAAGATTGGAGGACATTATTGATGAGGAAACGAAGCATGAAAGGGAGGCCTGGTGCTATGTAGTATGTAGGTTCTGAATTGGGCTCGTAGCGAATATCGAGATTTTCTTGCCAGGAGCCTGTCAGGGCGAGAACGAGCCACCAGTTTCGCGAAAGGCTCTTTCCAGCCAGACCTGACCCTGGGCAGGTCCTGTGCGAATCGCTGGGGCGAAATGAACATAATTGACTGCAAATCAACAGACACCACCTGACCTGACCCCGTGATCCGGTAACCCGCTTACATGCCAACAATTCGCCAGGGTTCGCATCTTTCTAATGGTTGTGTCACGCGTTCCGATTCCTTTGTAGGAGACTGATTACGTTACAACGTTGTGACGCGACGACGTCACCTTGTAACGAACCTAATCTATTCAATTCCAATATCTAACTGTTAGTTTCGCGGCGGCAGGCGGCGCGCATGAGGCTTGTTAGGGTTGCGTGAGAGCGGGGATCATGCTCTGAAGCTCTGAAGCTCGGATCCCTGGATCTAACCATTTACGCTACGTCGTTCGTTTTCTCCGCCCCAGTCTCGTAGAACAAGCCGAACATCAGCCGTCGATCAGGATGATCGACGGCGCAGCGCTACTCCCCGCGCAGGTGTTGCGCAACCTCTCCGACAAGCTCTACGACAAGCGCAAGGCGGCCGCGCTCGAGGTGCGCGGATAGTAGGGGAGGTGTGGGGGAGGGGGAGGACTGGAGGGGAGGTGGCGGGGGTGGGGGGAGGAGATGAGGGAGCGCGGAGGAAAGGGCGGAAATGGACTGAAAAGTCAGGAGGAATGCGTGGAGTCGCTCAGCTGGCAGGCAGAGCGATCCGTGGATACGTATGGCTCTCCCACCGCAACCCCCCCTCCCCCCTCCCCCTCCCCACCCTCCCTCCCCCTCCCCCTCCCCTCCACCTCCCCCTCCCCCCCCGCCCCTCTCCCTCTGCTGCACTTGCGCTCCAGATTGAGACGGCAGTGAAGGCGGCTGTAGCAGAGGGGTACGATGATAGAATCAACGCCATCATTGCGCTGCTGGCCAATGATTACGCCACGTCAGCACAGCCCAACCAGAGAAAGGTGAGTGGAGGAGAGGTTGGAGAAGGAAGAGGTGTGTGCGGAGGGAGAGGAGGGGGGAGGGGGAGGAAGGGGGGGAGGAGGAGAGGGAAGGGAGAGAGGGGAGGGGAGGGAGTGGGGATGCGGAAGAGGGGGGGTGGGGGGAAGGTGACATGCACCATCCTGACAAGAGCATGGGTGAGGGAGTGCGCTGAATAGTGGATTTCTCGTGGGAGATCAGGTAGGAGGCAGGGCGGGGGAAGGGAGCGAGGAAGAGTGAGATTCACTGAGTCGATCACACCAGCAATTATCACATACTGCTGGCTGTCCCCTCCAACGCATTGTTAGATCCTCCCCTCCTGTTAACCTTATCTCAACCAACCCACCCACCCACCCCATTGCCTTCTCCCTTCTTCCCCACCCCCCTCCCCCGCCTTCCCCCTCCATCCGTCCCACCTGCACCTTTTCTCCAGGGCGGGCTCATTGGTCTGGCTGCTGTGACTGTGGGGCTCGGGCCCGACGCCAGCCAGTATCTAGATGTACGTGGGGGGGGTCTGCAGCATATCACAGAGAGGCTGGATTCCTGGATGATGGGTGTACTGCAGTGGGGGTCCCGCGCACATCTGAAAACATCAAACTCCTCTTCTCACGCATATCTGGGCCAGGGATCGAGTCGGTGACCATCTGAGCGTGTCGTGCCCCGTGTACTTCCATCTGAGCGTGTCGTGCCCCGTGTACTTCCATCTGAGCGTGTCGTGCCCCGTGTACTTCCATCTGAGCGTGTCGTGCCCCGTGTACTTCCATCTGAGCGTGTCGTGCCCCGTGTACTTCCATCTGAGCGTGTCGTGCCCCGTGTACTTCCATCTGAGCGTGTCGTGCCCCGTGTACTTCCATCTGAGCGTGTCGTGCCCCGTGTACTTCCATCTGAGCGTGTCGTGCCCCGTGTACTTCCATCTGAGCGTGTCGTGCCCCGTGTACTTCCATCTGAGCGTGTCGTGCCCCGTGTACTTCCATCTGAGCGTGTCGTGCCCCGTGTACTTCCATCTGAGCGTGTCGTGCCCCGTGTACTTCCATCTGAGCGTGTCGTGCCCCGTGTACTTCCATCTGAGCGTGTCGTGCCCCGTGTACTTCCATCTGAGCGTGTCGTGCCCCGTGTACTTCCATCTGAGCGTGTCGTGCCCCGTGTACTTCCATCTGAGCGTGTCGTGCCCCGTGTACTTCCATCTGAGCGTGTCGTGCCCCGTGTACTTCCATCTGAGCGTGTCGTGCCCCGTGTACTTCCATCTGAGCGTGTCGTGCCCCGTGTACTTCCATCTGAGCGTGTCGTGCCCCGTGTACTTCCATCTGAGCGTGTCGTGCCCCGTGTACTTCCATCTGAGCGTGTCGTGCCCCGTGTACTTCCATCTGAGCGTGTCGTGCCCCGTGTACTTCCATCTGAGCGTGTCGTGCCCCGTGTACTTCCATCTGAGCGTGTCGTGCCCCGTGTACTTCCATCTGAGCGTGTCGTGCCCCGTGTACTTCCATCTGAGCGTGTCGTGCCCCGTGTACTTCCATCTGAGCGTGTCGTGCCCCGTGTACTTCCATCTGAGCGTGTCGTGCCCCGTGTACTTCCATCTGAGCGGTGGGGTCCATCTGAGCGTGTCGTGCCCCGTGTACTTCCATCTGAGCGTGTCGTGCCCCGTGTACTTCCATCTGAGCGTGTCGTGCCCCGTGTACTTCCATCTGAGCGTGTCGTGCCCCGTGTACTTCCATCTGAGCGTGTCGTGCCCCGTGTACTTCCATCTGAGCGTGTCGTGCCCCGTGTACTTCCATCTGAGCGTGTCGTGCCCCGTGTACTTCCATCTGAGCGTGTCGTGCCCCGTGTACTTCCATCTGAGCGTGTCGTGCCCCGTGTACTTCCAGTGCCAGGGCGTGCTGCAGCTTGGTGCCGGTCCCGTCCCATCCCGTGGCTGGCGCAGGATGACACCACACCCTACCTACCCACACCCCCTTCAACCATTCACTTCTGTCCCCTGTCTGTCTGTCTCTGCTCCCCATCCTCTGAGCTTCTCCGGCTTAGCAGCTTAACCCATCTCCCATCCTCCTCCTCCTCCTCCTCTCTTCACGTCTTGGCCCCATCCGCCTTGGCCCTCTTGGCCCCATCCGCCTTGGCCCTCTTGGCCCCATCCGCCTTGGCCCTCCTGGCCCCATCCGCCTTGGCCCTCTTGGCCCCATCCGCCTTGGCCCTCTTGGTCCCATCCGCCTTGGCCCTCTTGGCCCCATCCGCCTTGGCCCTCTTGGCCCCATCCGCCGTGGCCCTCTTGTCCCCATCCGCCTTGGCCCTCTTGTCCCCTGCAGCGCCTAGTCCCCCAGGTTCTCAAGTCCTTCTCGCACTCTGACAGCTGTCGCGCATCTCTTGTGCCTCCCCACCCTCTGTCCCCTGCAGCGCATAGTCCCTGAGGTGCTCAAGTCCTTCTCGGACTCGGACAGTCGGGTGCGCTACTATGCGTGCGAGGCACTCTACAACATTGCTAAGGTGCGGCACTCTACAACATTGCTAAGGTGAGGCGCTCTACAACATTGCTAAGGTAAGGTAGGGTACTGTAGACTACTGTGCGCCGGGATGTTCAACTGTGTGCCACTGTATTTGTGAAGCGCTCAAAATCAACACCGACGTGCGTTGCTGCATTGGTGCTACTCGGAGCACTGCTCTGTGCAACATTGCAAAGGTTCCTTTAACACACACTCGAAACATTGCTGACCCAACACACCACTCAGCGCCACAGTGTGAGACACGGCCTCCCATTCCCCCATGTGCCGATGGGCTCAGTCTCTCTCTCTCTCTCTCGCTGTTCTATCCTCCAAAGGCTCCCTCGCTCCTCCGGCATTCTCGTGCCCTCCCTCCAAGATCACCCTTTAGGTGACACGCGGCGAAGTTAACGGTGCCTTCAACGTTGTATGCAACCACTCTGCTTTGCGACAACGCACTGTGCACCTTACCCCTCTCCCTCCAATCGCCAGGTGACACGTGGCGACTTCATAGTGTTCTTCAACGACGTCTTCAACGCCCTCTGCAAGCTCTCTGCTGACCTGGACCCCAACGTGCAGTCCGCCGCCCACTTGCTCGACAGGCTCGTCAAGGTGAGTCAGCAAACGAGCAGTGCTTACCCTCACCAATTCTTACTGCAACTGACGTGGACCCCAACGTACAGTCCGCTGCTCACTTGCTGGATAGGCTGGGGAAGGTGAGTTCACTTGAGGATCAGCATCTCACCCATTGCGGCTGCCCTGGGCCCAACGTGCAGCTTGCTGCTCACTTGCTGGACAGGCTGGGGAAGGTGAGGTGGCTGGCACCCTCACGCGGCTTTCTCTCTCACCTCATGTCACCATGACTAATCTCTCTCTCACCTCATGTCACCATGACTAATCTCTCTCTCACCTCATGTCACCATGACTAATCTCTCTCTCACCTCATGTCACCATGACTAATTTGGGCCCCAACGTGCAGCAGCCTGCTGCTCACTTGCTTGTGCTCCTTTTAGTAAAGGCCTACACCCTAGACTAGAGCAAACTTCTATCCTCATTCTCTTGTATTCCCGACTCCCATGCGCCACTCTCCTGCCCCCCCCCCTCCGCCTTCGCAGGACATTGTGACAGTCAGCGATCAGTTCAGGTGACTCTCCTGCCCTCTCCCATCCCCACTCGCTCCTCACCTCCGCCCCTCACACCCCGTCATCCCTTGGCCCAACCCCGTGATCTCCCGAACCCCGTACTGTTCATCCCTCTGCCCAACCCCGTGATCTGCCGAGCCCCGTACTGTTCATCCCTCGGCTCATAGCGCGCATGAGTGTTCCCATGCTCGACCCCTTCACTTCCATGCCCGAGCTGTTCCGAACCCCCCCTTGCCCTTACGCGGTACAGAGGAGTTCATTCAGGCATCTCTCTGCTCCGCGCCCATGTGCGTTTGCTCACCTCAACCCCTTCGTGCAGCAGTTCCTAGTCGTCCTGCCTCTATCATGCCTCTAAACCCCGCCTGTTTCTAGTTAGCCTAGGGCATTCTGGACTTCATCTCCTTGCAACCAGCTCACACGAGTGTGCAAACCCTTGTTGCCGCATGCCTATTCCCTTCTCCCTCCCTTTGTGCAGCATAGAGGAATTCATCCCCCTTGTTACGGGCGCACGTGAGCGTGCTCAACCCCTTGGTGTAGCAGTTCCGATCCCAGTCTCCCATGCCCCTAACATGCCCCTCCTCACCGCCTCATCGCAGCATTGAGGAGTTCATCCTTCTGCTCCGCGCGCACATGAGTGTGCTCAACCCCTTCATGCAGCACTTCCTGGTGGGCTGGGCTGGATCACGGGGCCTCACAACTAGCCCTTGTGGCCCATCCGCTACCCCCTATCCCTCGCCCCCAACCAGCATAGAGGAGTTCATCCCTCTGTTGCGGGCGCACATGAGTGTGCTCAACCCCTTCGTGCAGCAGTTCCTGGTGGGCTGGATCACAGTGCTGGACAGTGTACCTGACATAGACATGCTTGGCTTCCTGCCAGACTTGCTCGATGGTGGGTTCTCGTTCTGACATAGACATACGTATGCAGCCATGTTCATTCAGCTGTGGTTCGCTCGTACATGTGCTGCTGGACAGTGTACTCGATATAGACATGCTTAGCTTCCTACCATTATACCATACCTACACCTACTTAATGGTGCATACGTGGTGTTAGGGCCAATGTTTAGGGTGTACGTTTGCACATGCTAAGGGACTCAGCCCACGAAATCCTAAGGCATCCTTCACCTCTTGCTCTCCCCTTTCATGCCTCTACTTACCCTGCCCTTGCTCCCTCCCTGCCCTCGTTCCCTGATCCCATCCCCCCAGGTCTGTTCAGTAGGTGACTTTAGAGACGACTCAAAAACGTTCCCTGGTCCCATTCCCCCCAGGTCTGTTCAGTAGGTGACTTTAGAGACGACTCAAAAACGTTCCCTGGTCCCATTCCCCCCAGGTCTGTTCAGTAGGTGACTTTTGAGTCGACTCAAAAACGTTCCCTGGTCCCATTCCCCCCAGGTCTGTTCAACATGCTGGGCGACTCGGCGCACGAGATCCGAGTGCAGGCAGACAGCGCTCTGAGGGAGTTCCTGCATGAGATTCGCCACGCGCCTGTGAGTACAGGGAGATCCGGGTATCCCTGAGGTCCGGGTATCCGGATTCCGGAATATTATCCGGCGGGTCGTGTCTGGGTTACCCGGGCGGGTATTCGATACCCGTTACCCGAAACGTTACCAGACAGGGCGTGTAACGGGTACCTGTCCGGTCGGGTACTTAATACCCAAGGTCGGGTATTCCACCTAGACATGGGGGTAAGTCGAGCTGTGTTTTAGGCTTTGCGGCAAAACGGTTTGGGAGGAGATCAGTGCGGTGAAAGGAAGGGAGTTTGGTTGGAAATGTTGGTGTTTGTAGACGGGGAGGAGGTCAATGCCAGGGAGGAAGTTGGGTGGTCAAAATTCGAAACCTCAAACGCAATTCTCATTTGCAAGCCGCGCTTTCAGAAACTTTAGCTAGCCTAGCCCGTTTTTAGGAGGCCCACTAGTAGGTGGCGGGCAGTAATACCCGCTTTTCAGGGTAACTGGGCCGGGCATACCCGGACCTGCCAGGCGGGTATTGTATTACCCGCCCCTTAAGGCCAGGTCCGGGTAAGGGTCCTGGGCATATTACCCGACCAGGACCCGACCCGAAAATACCCGATCGGAGGTCGGGTATTGCTAAACCGGGTCAGGTCGGGTAATTACCCGGTTTTGCTCAACCCTAGGGGTCAGTTTGTATACTGCAATGGGGAATATATTGGAACACAGGGAGTCAGGGTGCAGGCCGACAGCCCTCTGAGGGAGTTCCTGCATGAGGTTCGCCACGCGCCTGTGAGTGGCGGGGAAACAGAGTGCGATGCGGATGTGGAGCAGTGCAGGGGATAATACCTTGTGCAGGGGCAGGGTGTGAGGACGCAGGCAGATAGCGCATTAAGTGGTTTTTTCCATTAGATACGGCACGCGCCGCGCTGTCAGTAGGAAGGAGCTTTGGGAAGGGGGCAAGGGGGAGGTGGGTGGGCTTAATTTTGAGGCGCCTCAAAAACAGACTCCTTTGGGAAGGGGGCAGGGGGGAGGTGGGTGGGCTTACAGGAGGGTGGGGATGCGGAGGGTCGGAGCAAAGAGAGGCAGGGTGTGAGTGGAGCATGCGGGCATGAGTCCTTCAGTTCTTCCCCTCCTTCAGGCAGACAGGCAGTTGCTTCTTTCGTCCCCTCGCTGACAGACATTGGAGTGTGGGGGCGCTGGATGGGAATGCTAGTATCAAGAGGATAGAGGGCGTTGTTCCCTCCTTCCTGGGCTCCACCCACCCACCATTCCGTACTTTGATCCCTTGTTCCTCACCTTCCAATTTCCCACCCTTGCCGTCTCTATCTCCCCCCCCCCTCACAGGCAGTGGAGTACGGGCGCATGATGGACATACTAGTGCAGGGAGCACGAGTGCAGGGAGCAGGGAGCAGGTGGAGTGGATTGGACTGCATGAATTGTTTCATTCTTCCAGGGCTCCCAACCACCCACCCTTGCCGTCTCTATTTTTCCTTCCCCCCCCCCCTTCCCACAGGCGGTGGAGTACGGGCGCATGATGGAGATACTGGTGCAGAGAGCGGGGTCCTCCGATGAGTTCACTCGCCTCACTGCCGTCACGTGGGTATGATGGCTCATGTTTAAGAGTTTCTGTTTAAGATTGAGGTTAATGGTGCAGAGAGCGGGGTCCTCCGATGAGTTCACCTGGCTCACTGCAGTCGCTTGGGTATGACACGCAGGGGTTTCGGGTTTCTGCTTAGGGTTTGGGGTCTGGAGGTTTATGGAGCAGGGAGCTTTCGCGGCTGTCGAATCGGTATGACGGCTCAGGGTTTGGTGAGGTTAGGTTTTGGGGTTTTAGGATGGTTCCAAGGGTTTTTTTTCTTCCTTTTATGACGCAGAGAGCCGGGTTTGCTGTTGAGCTTGAGTAGCTGAGAGGCGCTCAGATGGTGCTGTACCGTGTACTATGCCGCGTGTCCCACATGACATGTCTCATGCGTGCTTTACATGCGTGTCTCACAGTGTGCCGCGTATCAACGAGTTTTTAAAGCTGGGAGGAGCTCAGATGGTGTCGTACCATGCCCCATGTGTTCCACGTGATTCACGCATGTTTCACCACACATACATGCCACTTCCATGCCTTCACCACACATACATGCCACTTCCATGCCTTCACCACAGATCAACGAGTTTGTGAAGCTGGGTGGCGCTCAGATGATGCCATTCTATGCCGCTGTGGTGGGCGCCATTCTGCCCTGCATCGCCGACAGAGAGGAGAAGATCGCTGCGGTGAGGCTGAGGCTCCATGTTGGCAGCGTGTGCTTTAGTGAACACCACTTGGGTGCCATAGGTCTTTACGTGGCAGCAACTTTGAAAACGCTCAAGTAAAATGAGTAGAGAGCTTGCTTGAAAAACTCTTGTGAAAATTTGATGGTAACCGATTTCGGCTCGAGAGCCTTCTTCAGGCTGAGGCTCCATGCTGGCAGCGTGTGCTTTAACATCGCAGATAGACATGATCAAAACGCTAGAGTGCAAATAACCAGTGCGGTTTCGTAGTGGGTTTCAGAGTGGGTTTCAATGCAATATCGCGCGCGATTTTTTTTAAATCGCATATCGCATTTAAATCGCGTTTTTTAGCGCGATTAAAATGCGATTTAAATTAAATCGCGCGATATTAATTCATCGCATCGCGCGATGAAAAAAAAAAAAAAAAAAAAACATCGCCATCGCAAAAACGCGATTAAATGCGATGCGATGCGATTTTTTTTGCCCATGTCTAATCGCAGAGCCATTGTGCGACTCCATCACCGACTCCAAGGCTGGAATGCAAACGCTTCTCCATCGCACACTCATTCTGCTCGCAAGGTTGGCCTGCCCATGCTGCGCGGGTGAGAGGGCTTCGCAGGCGCCTTGAGATGATATTTCACTCTGTTTTCTTCTCCTCGTCTTTCCTCTCAGATTGCCCGCGACACAAATGAAGAGCAGCTGGCGAGGGTGAGGGAGCAGAGTGTGGCGGATGGCTTTGATGTGCCAGCAGTGGTGGAGATAGCACGGAGGTGGGTGGGGGGAGGAGGGATCAAGAGATAGAGGGGAGGAGTGGGGGGGAGGAGGGCAATGAAACAAGCAGAGTGAATCAGAGATCAAACATTGGTTAGTGGTGTGACATACCAAACCTCACTTAGTGGTGGATTACTAGCTTGCTGTGTGATGCCGTGGATGTGCACTTGGATGGATCTTGCAGAAGTGACTTTTGAGTCGACTCAAGAGCCACCTCGTTACAATGTCACACAACACCCTCGTGGGTTACTAACTTGCTACATGATGCGGAGGATGTGAACTTGGATCTTGCAGTGTGTGTTTGGGACCTGGATCAGTTGATTCCATTCCACTTGCACTACTGCACGCTCTAAGTGTGCATCAACCCCTGTCACCTCACCACTGCCATACCGGCATCCCTGTGAACAGTCCATCCATCCAGCATTGCCGGTCCAACCATTTGCTCCCTCTGTACTCACTAATGCAAGAGATTGACTAGAATTCTAAAAAATCTCTCGCATTGCCTGTCCAACCGTTTACTCCCTCTGTACTCACTAATGCAGGGAGCTGAGGAGCAGCTGGGAGGCCACACGGCTAGAAGCTCTTGCGTGGATCGCCACCCTTCTGCACCGCTTCCCACACCAGGTGAGTCGATTTGATTCCCACACCAGGTGACGCCATTCTAACACCAAATAATCCCACGTGAGAACACCCCTGCAGCTCTGCTCTCCCCCATCCCACAGCTCTACTTCCGCCCTGCATTCTTCCCCTTATGCAACCTCGGTTTGTCGATGCGTTCTTCCCCTTCACATCATGGTCCTCCATGCGTGAGGAGTCTATTTTTGAGGCGCCTGCATTCTCCCACAGCTCAAAAATAGATTCCGCCCTGCATGCTTCCCCTTCACATCAGTGTCCTTTACGCCTTTGCGTCTTGTCTCGCCACACCATGCCCCTCTCACACTCCCCGTCCCCCTTCTTGAGCTCATGGTCCATCCCTCCATTGGCCTCTATCAGTTCTTTTCCACCCATCCCGCTCCCCCCACGTCTCTTCGCCTGGGCCTTTTTTCTCCAAGCAGCTGCTTGACCTCATGGACGACCCCTCCACTGCCCTACTGGAGTCTCTGCTAGCGGCGCTGGCAGACGAGTCGGACCAGGTGGGCAGTCAGACCAGGTGGGCACGCCGACCAGGTGGGCACGCCGACCAGGTGGGCACGCCGACCAGGTGGGCAGTCGGACCAGGTGGGCAGTCGGACCAGGTGGGCACTCAGACCACGTGGGCACTCAGACCACGTGGGTTGGCATCATCATCATTGGTGGGCTAGATGGTACCCAGGCCTCAGTGTGAGTGCAGTGAGCATATGATTGGTTGATTACGAAATCTGACATGGAGACTTGATGTGTGGGTCGTTGTAGCAATGTCAGGTGCTGCTGGAAGGACTATTCAGTCCACTCCTGCTTCCGTGCTTTCCTCAAGAGTCCACTATTGAGTCGACTCAAGAGTTTCCGTGCTTTCCTCTTTCCTTTCTGACAAGCCCAGGTGGTGCTGGAGGCACTCTCAGTGCAGGCAACAGTGGCCAGCCACCCAAACCACTTCCACCGCCTTCTGCTTCTGCTGCTCCTGCGGTTCAACTCCGACCGTGCCCTCCTAGACAGGTATGAATTCGGTGGTATTGACCTGTGAGCCTCTCACTCCTCAACTTGCTGCTGCTTCTGCTGCTGCTGCTCTTGCGGTTCAACTCCAGCCGTGCCCTCCTAGACCCGTGTGACTTCAGTTCAGTGCATGCCCTGCTTGGTTAGGGTAATGTCAATTGAGCCGCCTCCTCCTTCATCTCGCTGCTACCACTTCTCCTACCACTGCACCTGCTGCTGCACCTGCTGCTGCACCTGCTGCTGCACCTGCTGCTGCACCTGCTGCTGCACCTGCTGCTGCACTGTCCTCTCCATACATCCTTATTATCGCCCGCCATCCCACCTTCGCTTCCCCAGTACACAGTAGAGGCAGCATCATCATCCGCGGTCCTGCGCCATGCTAGATGCTGACTGGGTCTACCCCGGGCAAACAGAGCACACCATTCTCCAGAACGAGTCGGACTGTGGTCTCGCCGTCACCATGGTGACCACGCTCAGCCTCATCCTCTCCTTTCCCACACCCCACTCCTCCCCTTCCCCTTCCCCTTCCCACACTTCCCCTTCCCCTTCCCGACCCAAGCAGGAGAGGCAGCATCATCATCCGCCACCTGTGCGCCATGCTAGATGCGGACAAGGTGCTCAGGGAACTAGCTTTCATCCTCCAGAACGAGTCGGACTGCGACTTTGCCGCCACCATGGTGCCCACGCTCAGCCTCATCCTCCTCACCGCGCCCGAGCTCGCCCCATCCGCGCCAAGCTCAAGCGCTCCTTCGCTCCGCCCCCGCCATGCTTCACCCATCTCCTGCTGTGGGTCAGCCGCCCCCTGGCCTTGCTTCTGCTCCTGCTGCAGCTGCTTCTGCTGCTGCAGGGGGTCCTGGCTCCTCTTTCTCCCCCTCCCCCTCCTCCTCGTTCTCCCCTCCTGCGCTCGTAGGTGCTGGTGGTGGGGTTGGTGGGGGTGGTGGTGGAGGTGAGGTGGGCACTACTGCTGCTGGTAATCCAGCCACATCAGCAGCAGGAGCACCATCGGCAGGAGCAGCAGCACCGGGAGGCAGGGGGTTGTTCCTGGCGCTGTACCCAGCGTGGTGCCACTCGCCCATAGCGGCCGTGAGCCTGTGTCTGGTGGCGCAGGCGTACGAGCAAGCATGGGCATCGTGGACGCCCTGGATGAAAGCGACCTCTCGCTCAGCCTCATGGTGCAGGTGGGCGATACAGTGAGGCCTCATGGTGCAGGTGGGCGATACAGTGAGGCCTCAGGAGAAGGCAGGTTTGCTTGCATGCAAACACGCACACGGGCGTACAAGCACACGGGCGTACAAGCACACGGGCGTACAAGCACATCGTAGAAAACCCCACGAGTATCACTTGCCTGTGGCCTTCTGTTGACGCAATTGCATTCTAAGATGTATTCACTGTGGTGCACTGCTGTGTGTGTGTGTGTGCATGTGCATGTCCATCTATAATTTTGCATGCGTGAGCGTGCATGTTCATGTATGCCTACGAATGTGCTTGTGCATGTATGCATGTGTGCATGTGCCTATGTGCAGGTGGACAAATTGGTTCTCCTGCTCGAAACGCCGATCTTTAGCAGGCTGAGATTGCAGGTCAGTGGCACGGTGAACAGCACTCGGCCATGATGAGAAGAGATGGCAGGTGGGCATTATAAGGAGTGTGTAGTAGGCATGAGCAATGAGGCGAGGATTTCCGAGCCTCGGAAATCCTCGCCTCGAAATTCCGGGGGTCGAGGTGGGATTTCTGGGAAAAATCCTCGCGAGGAATCCTCGCCCCGCCCCGCCGAGGATTCGAGGACTCGACAATTCCTCGGCACTTTAGGGGCGAGGATTTTTTCCTCGCGTCACTTTTGTGCGGTACAAACCGAATCTTGGTGACTTGGCTACTGAATCTTCATTACTTGTGAATCAGCCGAGCCCCTTGTTTTTGTATTAGGGTTAGCTAAGGGATAGCTGCCCCCATTTCGCCCAATGCTACCATTTAGAACAGCTTAAACGAAGACCTTTGAGTGGGGTATACTTAACCTGCCGCCGCGCGACTAGCATCTAGGGGGGGTCAGGAACGTAGTCGGAAAACCAGATCTGGTTTTCCGCAACCCCATCCAGAGTGTTTGATTGCAAAATTCGCAACCCCTACTGGCGAGTTGTTGATTGTGAATTTCGCGACCCCCTCTTGAGGGGTCACGTACGAATTTTGCAAGACCCTGCTGAAGGGTCAATTTCGAAATTCGCAGCCCACGGGTCGATAACGATTTTCGCAACCCTGTCTTGAGAGGGTCAAATTCGAAAACCTGAGGCAAGGGTGCCTATAACCCCTGGGGAGTAGAACGGGAAGAGCACTGTCGAAATAACAAAGGCAGAGTTCAGGGAATCCCCACCCCACCCCCACTCACGTAAAGGAATCCTCGCCTCGGGTCGAGGGTTTTTTCCTCGAGGCGAGGATTCCAAGACATGGTTAAAATGTGATGCGATGCGATATCGCATCGCTGCGATATTCTGTTTCAAAAATTGAAATCGCATATCGCTTTTTAGGGTGCGATGTTACAAAATATCGCACCCATGAATGCGATATATCGCGCGATGCGATTTAAAGCGAGGGTCTCAAGAAGCAGAAAACCAAATCCAAAGGTTTTGGTTTCGGGGGGTCTCGAAAATTGCGAGGTGTGGTGAGGGGTGCTGGTTGGGCGCTGTTACTGTTTCGCCAATTTCGTCAACCCAAAACCAAACCTTTTGGATTTGGTTTCGCGCTTCTTGAGACCCTCGCTTTAATGTCGCATTGCATTTAGGGGTCGGAGGAGAAAAGCAGAACGACAAGGAAGGCTTTCCTAGGTGCGCAAGGAATTAAGTGAGTGAAGTTTAACGGGAGAATGGGATATCGTAGCCCCTCTCTGATGTAAAGCGTGTTAGAGGGGCAGGGGTTGGATTCCGTAGATGTGGAGGAATGTAGTGCGGTTGAAGTGGTGGAAATTGGTTGGACTTCCAACCAATTGACTTAGTGGGGTCGAGATTTCAATCAACCCCCGAAATCCCTTTAACCGCACACCACCACATTCCATCCACCACCGCCCATGTCAAAATTTGAACCTCCAACCAACTCCCTTCCCTCAACCGCACTGCACTCCTTTTCAACTAGAATTTCCAACCCTTCCTCTCCAAGCTCCTCACAAACACCTCCCCGTCAATTACGCCAACCCCAAACAGCTGCGCGCATTTTCCGCACGCCATTACAACCAAACCCTAATTTTTGCTAAGTTCAGGGCCCACGCCCATGTTCCCCCCCCTTTCTGGTGCAATTCCGCGACGCGATATGCAGATGTATGGCGCGCGATATTTTAATATCGCTCATCGCGTTATATCGCGTTGAAAAATCCGCGATAACTGCGCGATATTGCAAAATTCGCGCGATATTATCGCATGGCATCGCTGCGATTTTTCACTTAAAAATAAAATAAAAATAGCAACCGCAAAATGCGATAAAATCCGATGCGATATACCCATGTCTAATTCCAATCCTCGCCCCTAAAACCCGGGGGTCGAGGAGGGATTTTTTAGCCAGGATTCCTCGACCCGCCTTGGCTGGGGCGCGAGGAGGAGATCCTCGGGTCAAGGAATCCTCGCCTCGCCCCGTGCTCATGCCTTGTGTGTAGGCATGTTGCATGCGTGTCGGCATGGTGCATGCGTGCAGGCATGGTGCATGGGTGCAGGCATGGTGCATGCATGCAGGCAAGGATAGTGCACAAAAGTTAAGTGCAAAATCAGACGAGATGGCAAGGTAGCTCTTGTTATTGAACTGTACAATAGTCATGAAGTGTACGATAGTCATGAAGTGTACGACTGTCATGAAGTGTACGATAATCATGAAGTGTACGATAGTCATGAAGTGTATAATTGTCATGTAGTGTACGATAGTCATGAAGTGTACGATAGTCATATGAAGTGTATGATAGTCATGAAGTGTACGATAGTTATGAAGTGTACGATAGTCATGAAGTCTAAAATAGTCATGAAGTGTACAATAGTCATGAAGTGTACAATAGTCATGAAGTGTACAATACCATATTCATGAGGTGTACGATATTCATGAAGTGTACGCGATAGTCATGAAGTGTACGATTGTCATGAAGTGTACGATAGTCATGAAGTGTACGATAGTCATGAAGTGTACGATAGTCATGAAGTGTGTGATAGTCATGAAGTGCACGATAGTCATGAAGTGTTCGATAGTCACGAAGTGTACGATATTCATGAAGTGTACGATAGTCATGAAGTGTACGATATTCATGAAGTGTACAATAGTCATGAAGTGTACAATAGTCATGAAGTGTACGATAGTCATGAAGTGTACAATAGTCATGAAGTGCACGATAGTCATGAAGTGCACGATAGTCATGAAGTGTACGATAGTCATGAAGTGTACGATAGTCATGATGTGTATGATATTCATGAACTGTACGATAGTCATGAAGTGAACGATCGTCATGAAGTGTATGATTGTCATGAAGTGTATGATAGTCCTAAAGTGTAGGAAAGTCACGAAGTGTACGATGGTCATGAATTGGACGATAGTCATGAAGTGTACAATAGTCATGAAGTGTATGATAGTCATGATGTGTACAATTGTCATGAAGTGTACAATAGTCATGAAGTGTACGATAGTCATGAAGTGTACGATAGTCATGAAGTGTACAATAGTCATGAAGTGTACGATAGTCATGAAGTGTACGATAGTCATGAAGTGCACGATAGTCATGAAGTGTACGATAGTCATGAAGTGCACGATATTCATGAAGTGCACGATAGTCATGAAGTGCACGATAGTCATGAAGTGTACGATATTCATGAAGTGCACGATAGTCATGAAGTGTACAATAGTCATGAAGTGTACGATATTCATGAAGTGTACGATAGTCATGAAGTGTGTGATAGTCATGAAGTGTACGATAGTCATGAAGTGTACGATAGTCATGAAGTGTACGATAGTCATGAAGTGTACAATTGTCATGAAGTGTATGATAGTCATGAAGTGTACGATAGTCATGAAGTGTACGATAGTCATGAAGTGTACAATAGTCATGAAGTGTACAATAGTCATGAAGTGTACGATACTCATCAAGTGTACGATAGTCATGAAGTGTGTGATAGTCATGAAGTGTACACGATAGTCATGAAGTATACACGATAGTCATGAAGTGTACAATAGTCATGAAGTGTACGATATTCATGAAGTGTACGATAGTCATGAAGTGTGTGATAGTCATGAAGTGTACCATAGTCATGAAGTGTACGATAGTCATGAAGTGTACGATACTCATCAAGTGTACGATACTCAGCAAGTGTACGATACTCATCAAGTGTACGATAGTCATGAAGTGTACGATAGTCATGAAGTGTGCGATAGTCATGAAGTGTACACGATAGTCATGAAGTGTACACGATAGTCATGAAGTGTACCATAGTCATGAAGTGCACGATAGTCATGAAGTGCACGATAGTCATGAAGTGTACGATAGTCATGAAGTGTACGATAGTCATGAAGTGTACGATATTCATGAAGTGTACGATAGTCATGAAGTGTGTGATAGTCATGAAGTGTACAATAGTCATGAAGTGTACGATAGTCATGAAGTTTACGATAGTCATGAAGTGTACGATAGTCATGAATTGGACGATAGTCATGAAGTGTACAATAGTTATGAAGTGTACGATAGTCATGAAGTGTAGGACAGTCATGAAGTGTACGATAGTCAGGAATTGGACGATAGTCATGAAGTGTACAATAGTTATGAAGTGTACGATAGTCATGAAGTGTACAATAGTCATGAAGTGTACGATAGTCATGAAGCGTAGCATAGTCATGAAGTGTACAATAGTCATGAAGTGTATGATAGTCGTGTAGTGTAGGTGATTCATGAAGTGTACGATAGTCATGAATTGGACGATAGTCATGAAGTGTACAAGAGTCATGAAGTGTACAATAGTCATGAAGTGTACGATTGTCATAATGTGTATGATAGTCGTAAAGTGTAGGATAGTCATGAAGTGTACGATAGTCATGAATTGGACGACATTCATGAAGTGTACAATAGTTATGAAGTGTACGATAGTCATGAAGTGTAGGATAGTCATGAAGTGTACGATAGTCATGAATTGGACGATAGTCATGAAGTGTACAATAGTTATGAAGTGAACGATAGTCATGAAGTGTTCAATAGTTATGAAGTGTATGATAGTCATGAAGTGTACAAGAGTCATGAAGTGTACGATAGTCATGAAGTGTACGATAGTCATGAAGTGTACGATACTCATCAAGTGTACAATACTCATCAAGTGTACGATAGTCATGAAGTGTACGATAGTCATGAAGTGTGCGATAGTCATGAAGTGTTCACGATAGTCACGAAGTGTACACGATAGTCATGAAGTGTACCATAGTCATGAAGTGCACGATAGTCATGAAGTGTACGATAGTCATGAAGTGTACGATAGTCATGAAGTGTACAATAGTCATGAAGTGTACGATAGTCATGAAGTGTGTGATAGTCATGAAGTGTACAATAGTTATGAAGTGTACGATAGTCATGAAGTGTGTGATA